GGGAGTATTTTTCGGAGAAACACCGTGTTAATCAGGGTCGGAGAGTCGAGTCCCCATCAGGCCGGGTTTAAATTGCCATCTCTACTACTGATATTCACATGGTATTAGACAATGAATAGCTATGTTATGAATTTTTACAAAATGAAACCACATATGGGGTTCACTATGCATGGGATCCACTATTTGTCTATCTCACATGTGCGTCTTGTGAAAATTATTTGTGCACTTAAATTTACGTAATAAAGAACTAGCCTATCACCCGTGCTATGCACGGGATAATTATACATATTTATGTTTGTTTTAAATTTTTTTTAATATATAAATTATGTTTTTTAAAGATTTTTTATAAAAATAATTTAACAATCTTATCACTAATCATAGTGTATGAGAGAAGGTAAAAAGGGTACTGTAGTAACTATATACGGATTGTATCTATAATTATTTATTTGAGGGGATTTTAAATGCTGATCAGGAAATTTTGACAAAATCAATAAATGCAGGCATGTGTAAAGACATATGGATTGAAAAAAATTAATAAATGCTGATCAGGAAATTTTGACCAAATCAATAAATGCTGAGTTTTTTTTTTAAATAAAAAATTTAGAAAATTCAAATTGGGATATTGAAACTCCCACAAGCCTTGGGGGTTAAAAACCTCCTTTTTAAATTTCTTCTTTTTTTCCTTTTTTGTATTATATTAAAATTTAATATTTTGATAATAATCATATGTGTTGGACTCTTTAAGGAATTAAATGTCTTTTTTTTTATTATATTATATTAAAGTTTAATATTTTGATAATAATCATATGTGTTGAATTTTTCAAGAAATTTTTTTTATATTTGTTCTTAATGCATTAAAGTGTTATTATGAGGGATAATAATCATATGTATTGTGACTTTTCAAGGAATTCATATGTGTTGGATTTGAAAGAATTTTTTTTATACTTGTTCTTAATGCATTAAAGTGTTATTATGATGGTAAGACTTGGGAGTTGGGAGAAATTAATAAATGCTAAAATTTATTTATTTTTTAAATCAAAAAATTTAGATTGAGAGATTAGAAGTCCCACATGACTTCGGATTGAAAACTCTTTTCTACTTAATAGTATATAGTATAGATTCAAATCTAGAAGATGGGCCACACTTCTTATCAAGAAATACTAATTGCAATATATTATTGAAAAGTGAGTCTAATTAAGAAGCCTATAGTTCAACGGAGATCATAAAACATGGTATGAAACAAGTCATGGTGGTCAAAGATTTTGGTTTGTACATTTGATCCAGCAAGCTTGATTTGTCTGTGATATGAATAAAAAATGATAGCCTGTCACAGTCATATGGGTAGTATGTCCATTATGCATCTCCAGCCTTCTTCCCTACCTTTGAAAATTCCCTCCAACCTTTGTCTATACATGGCACCATCCCATTTCTTCCCATCTCCCTCTTATTCCATGTCTCTCTAAAATCTCTCTCTCTCTCTCTCTCTCTCTCTCCAACCAAATGCCACCAGAATCCGATCCCCTTTGATCTCAATCAAATCAACCATGATTTCAAATTTGGAAACTCAAGATCTCCCACCCGAATCCTTCTTAGTACACAAGGAACACGAGCTTGATTGGTTCAACCGCAATGCCTTCCTCGAGCGAAAAGGTTCTACCAAGATCAGCTTCTCCGGCAGCAGCAACTTGAATTCCATTTCGAACCCACGTCGGAGTTTTCACAGTTCACCTTCTCATAGATTGTCTCTGAATTCAAAATCCAAATCATCAATCATTGGATTGCCAAAGTTGCAGAAGTCGGATCGGGACCTCCGCTGGACCTCCAAGCCGGAAAATGTTCGGATGTTCCGGAGCTATTCCGAACCGGGTGGAAAACCGGTCATGCAGGTGCCCGAACCGGGTTCACCGAGGGTGTCGTGCATGGGGAGGGTTCGGTCCAAGAAGGGGAGAGAGAAGAGAACCGGGCTGTGGGCGAGTTTGAGGGCAATTTTTGGAACCGGGCAAGGAGTGGCGATTGGTAAGTGAAGCGCCGAGTCAAGCTATGAACCGGAGTCTGGACCGGCCGGGTTGAGGTTTGGGCGGTTGGAATCTGGTAAGAGGTGGTAGTGGTGGGGCGGCTATGGGATGGAAGGATGATGATCGTACACGTGGACAAATCAGGGTCGAGGAACCACAAAAAAAAATGTTAGTTAATTGGAGTGACAAAGGCCTACTTTTGTTGAATACTCCCCTAACTTTTGTTTGAGTTTCTGCTTTTGTTTTTAATTATTTTTTGGTTTAAGTTGCAATCACTCTTAATCTTGCTTAAGACTTGTATTGGTAGAGTTTGAGAAGTTTCGACTTAGTAAAATAAAATAAAGAGATTTATGTATTTCCTTTGTTAGCATGGATGATGGTTTGGTTATCATAATTATTATTTTTTATGAAAAATATTGTTAACGTGTGATCTTATAACATATGTTAAGAAAGTTTTTAAATAAATATATACATACCAAAATCTTTTAATAAAAACCGCACCTTATATTTACACTTAAGGGACCATGTTTATTTCGCAAATAAAATGAGGTGAGATAAGTTACTTTGGAATGAGTTGTTCTAAAGACATCATTTAGTAATAAAAATTTTATTTTGAAATAAATTATCCCACTCTGTTTTAAATTTTTTTTTTTTTTTCTCTTAAAACTACTAAAATAAGATATCCCGAGTAACAAATGTGACACAATGCATGGTAAATTTATTCAACAATCTTAACTCGCCCTTATCCTCAAATCAAACATGACTTAAGGCCCCGTTTGTTTCTCTAGGTATAAAATAAAAGATATAATATGATGTGAGATTTAGTCACAATATATAATGAATAGGATATATGTATTGGATAATATATCCCCCAATTCATGTTTGTTAACTTGATTATGAGGCTGGATATATATTATCCATATTTGTTTTACAAAATATATTTTGAGATATAAATAAATAATTTTCAAGATTGCCCTCATAATATATTTTAAATACTCGTATTGCCCTTATGCCCATCAAAAGGAGCATTGTTCAGTTTAGGAAAAAATAACACCACTTGCAAAACTAATGCAAATTAACAAATTAAAAATTCATATTATTTTTTATTTGAACAAATTAAAGATTCATATTAAATCCAATAATTTTCCCAAATAAAAAATATATATTATATTATATTAATGTCAACCTGGTAATGATAAAAATAAAATAAATACCACAAAATCATTTTAAACAAGTATTTTGATTTTAAAAATAATCATCACTCATTTATCACCCCACATCCATCATTCTTACAAAAAAACCCAAGCAAATAAATTATTTGAAAAAAAAATACTAATATTCATTCTAAAAAATTAAATCTTACAAAAATAATCATCATTGAATGAAAAAAAATAACATCTTCATTCATTCATTCATCACACATCATCATTTTTATAAAATAATCTAAGCCATTATAATTAAAAATAACCATCATTCATTGTAAGCAAATGATAACATTTTTTTACAATAGACAAGTTAATATATTAAGCATCATGATTGTCACTATACATTATATTTTATATATGCATGTCCACAAGCATACTTACAACCCCAACATTTACAACAAAATTAGGCACAAAAGCCATTTGTGGGGGATATACACTAGTTAGTTTGTCAAAATATGTCTAAACCTCCTAATTACTATGCAAAATAGGCACTACACATATGCTTCAAGAGGAATAACTAAACTAAATATTATAATATATAGATAGATATCTTTCACTAACTAACAGCAAACACACCCTCCTAAGCATATCCAGCCAACAACAAACATACCCATTCCATTTTGTCTTCTTCAGGCAAGCTAAAGAACAAATCAACCATTTCAGCATCCTTCACGATAAGGGTAGCTTCTCTCAACCTGTTAATGGTGTTTAGTGGCAACTTGAACAGTTCCCCATTAACCAGCTTCCTAGCTTGAGACAAGTCATGGGCATAACCAATCCTATAAGCAATTTCTTCCATGGTGTAGACACAGTAGATTTATCAATAATTTATAGAGTAAGTAGACAATTTAATAATAATTTAAGATATAAAGGATATTAAACTCATAACATAATTCTAAGACACACGAAAATGACATAAGGAATGACGAAGGAAAGCACTCACTTTTTATTATTGTAAATATTATTACAAAGCTTCGTTTGGCTATTCAGTTGTAGTTAAAAAAATATGAAAGATAAATACGTTAAATAAGTTAATGGAATAAAACATTACATCTAAATTATATATTTTTCTTTTTTTTAAAAAAAGTCAAAAAAGTTCAAAACAATCAATCAAAATAAACATTTTAATTCCAAGTTAAAAAAATCCAAATCCAAAAAGACAGATTAAATTTTTTTTTGTCGAATGAAAATTTAAGACGGTCGCAACCCACCCTGCACCGCACCCACATCCATTGTCCTGCCCCGTTGAGAAAGTGGGGCAGGGACGGATTTTAATTCTTCATTTCTCTTCA